TATATAAAAGAATGTCGTGTGAAAGCAACAAAAGTGACTGGCTATCCACAGCCGTGTCTTAAACCAACCCCACTTTGCTTTAATACTCTGTGTTGCTATTAATTTCTTATATGTGTTTTATATTCTCCTCCACTAGCTAGGGTTCTAAGATCGTTGATGATGATGAAGGACTCTGGCTTGGATCATCATGTTGATTATGAGTATAAGTCTTCTTGTTCACGAGGCCATTGGAGGCCTGCTGAAGATGAAAAGCTTCGTCAATTGGTTGACAAATATGGTGCCCAGAATTGGAACTCCATTGCTCAAAAACTTCAAGGAAGATCAGGTACTTAATTATCATCTCATGATCTCATGATCTCATATCTTTGATTTGTTTTTTTGATTCTCAATTCAAGTTGCAAAAACTTTGGTGGGTTTCGGTTCTTTTCTCGAATCTTTCAACCGATCATGAATTTATTTGCGTTTGTAGTGATTGAAACGAACGATTGAAGTCATCTGATGTTTTAGAGCGAGAGAACAATCTATCAACTTTGAGATGATAATTAGGGTGACATAAATGTTTTATTTTGAAATTGATGGGGTTTTTATGCGTTTGGTAACCCTTAATTTTTTTTTTTCGGATTAACTTTGATGTTAATTTAATATACTTTTTGTTTGAATTTTTGTTAGGAAAGAGCTGTAGATTGAGATGGTTTAATCAACTCGATCCTAGAATTATTAGAAAGCCGTTTAGTGAAGAAGAAGAGGAAAGGCTTTTGGCGGCTCATCAAATACATGGAAACAAATGGTCACTTATAGCTAGATTATTTCCTGGTCGGACTGATAACGCTGTGAAGAATCATTGGCATGTCATAATGGCTAGAAAACAAAGAGAACGATCCAAGCTTTGTGGAAGCAAGAGAACTTTCCAGGAATTTTCAGCTTCTAACTTTCCCGAGAACCAAACAGAATCTTTAGGTACTTACAACATCAACGACAACAACAATAGTTTCCTCGAACTCCAGAACTCCCACAAAGATGGAACGGTCTGGAATTTCAGACACTACTTGAAAGGTTCAAATAATAATAACATTCCCATTCTCCATGATACTTATCATAAGTTTAGAACTCCCTCATCGGCTCTAGTTTGCTATCCAAATCATAAAATTCCCTTTGGGGTTTATGAGTTTGGTAGCAATAGTGAAGTGATCAAGAGAGAATTGGCATTCGTAAACTTCATCGCTAATGCTGATCGTCGTCGTCATTATCATCATCGTCTTCTTCATGATCAAGAACGACAAGAAGATGAATCTCTTACAGACAAGGATGTTCCTTTCATAGATTTCCTCGGAGTTGGAGTTTCTTCGTAGATCAAATATATTTCTTCTAACAAATTACTTAAGCATAATTTGATCTTCTTGATCTTCCTCTGTAAAAATTATTAAACGTAGTTGTATCTTTGGCAAATTTATTAAACCCTCCTTTTGTTATCTCTAATGATCCATTTTAATGCATATATGATGATTTACGTGAGTACACATACGTATATACTCATGATATCTACCGATACAGGTATTTGCATGTTACTAAGATTAAATTTATCATAACCCATAAAGTTAGATTTTTGGATTCATGATTTAATAATCTGACATGATATTAGAGCAGAGATCTCGAGTTTGAACCATTGTAATGTCAGGTTGATTGGTGATTTAATCTTAATACTCTCGAGTTAAAGAATGAAGATATCGATTTAATAAAATTAGGTAGTAGAAGCTTCTAGGTTCGATGGTTGAGAGATATGACATTAGTATAAAGTGTCTGATATCGATATTAGTAGATTTAGAGACAACCCATCAATATGGTTGCAAGAAACTTATTACAAACTCCATCTATTCAAGCTAACTCTTTTACTCCAAAGTAGTACGACGAGATCAATAAATCTCCGACATATATTTTGATAATGGTATAATCTAATTGTTATTATATTCATACGCTCGAAATGGGTTATTGCTGTTGAATGATGAAAGTCCTACATCGACTAATTTAGGGAATGATCATGGGTTTATAAGTAAGAAATACTAACTCTATTGGTATGAGGCCTTTTGGGAAGCACAAAGCAAAGCTATGAGAGCTTATGCTCAAAGTGGACAATATCATACCATTGTGGAGAGTCGTATTTCCACATCAAAAGAGACGTGAATATTTAACCGATAAGCTTTAATTGTTAAAAGTCTCGTGTCGTGGATGACTTTTTAGGGTTTTGTTTGATTAATTTATTCTTTGTCATCATAATTTCAATAACCAAAAACCAACAAGTGGTGAAAAAACGACATCTAAACTTCCAACATTTTTATTGTATATCCTGTCATGTCTTTTTTTCTTTTACCCAAAAACCCTCCAACTCCCAAGATTTTAATTTCTCCATTTAATTGTAATATCTTGTTGATTTCATATATGAAAGTCTTTTAAATATATATATTTAATGCAATAAGTTCGAAAATTATTTGATTTAGGTTAAGAAAATCTTCCGACCTTAATAATTAATTCGTAAATTTATTCTTCTTCGTTATCTAAAAACCCTAAAATTCAAACCCATTTTGTTAATAATTATAAAACTCTGTTTAATTCGTGAAAATATTAATCAACTTTTAAAAATAATATTGAAAATTTTAGAAATAATTTATGAAGTGTTGATAGACAATTTTCGTTCATATATTAATAGTAATAATTTTTTAAAAGGGTAATCCGCTATTTTAAATTTTATGTTTTTTTTTTAATTATAAAAAACTTTAAAAATATTTTTATTAATTTAGTCTAATTATGATTTTTTTTTTTTGGTATATTCCCTCACCAATTATTTGTTGATGTGGGGAAGAACATGACCTTAATTTTGTCACTTGCCTAATCAAGAACACAACTAACAGCCTCTTTTATTCCTCAACCCGAGTTCATAAAGTTTGTTTTTTTCTTTATCAAACATCGTCATTTAAGCATTTGGAGGTTGTCGGTGCTTCTTCTAATCTAACTTTATAACTTATATTGTTTGTTTTAGTCTATTACGTATTGCTGTTAGCTTTACGGTTTTAAAACGCGTCTATTAGAGAGAGGTTTCTATACGCATGTAAATCCATCGCATGGGGCCTAATGTTCTTGTTGGCATACCACCTTGTGTCTTGTCAGACTCTGATATATTTTGTTACAAATGGTATTAGAGTTAACACCGGGCAGTATGCCAAACACATTTCAAAACCTTAAGAGAAAACCCAAAAGTGAAAAATCGAGAGAAGATAATATCTACTAGCGATGGGCTTGAGCTATAACATAAATACTTTAAAACGTTTATTATACACTAATTTGATACATTATTAAATGTAAACCTTAATTTGTTGGAGCCAATTGTAGATAAAAGTGGCCATTGCCCCCTCAATGGTTGTTGTTGGATGAAAATTTATATCATAAAAACATTGAACTTTGGTCGTATCGTTTCATAACGTGGTGGTGGTGGTGAACGGAGTTGGTTACGCAAACTGCAGAGCTCCGACGAGTGCAAAAGTGTACAAATCCGACAAATTGAGTTGGACCAAAATCACCCGACGTGCTCACGCTCGATGTCACAATTACACTCTTATGACAACGGAACAACGATTGTGCAACACTTGTTCTAATCCAGCGAACAAATTAGTTGTGAGAAATTTGGAATTTGTGGACAATGTTGGCGTATGCTCGAGACTCGGGTCACGTTTGTAAGAAATATTTTAGAAATCGTGAATGAAGTAAAACAATTTAAAACAATGGAAGAAAGTAAGGTTAAGAAAGTACATCATAACTTAAAATATCATATAACTCAAGAGTACATTTGAGAGCATTTTAGTGAGTGTAAACATGATTTTGGTGACTGGTCATACGCTTCCATATTGACATAACATGAAATAGTAAAAACCTATTTAAGATGAAAGTATGTAAAATGGATTTAGAATTGGCATGCGATCATGGACAATACATTTGGATGAACATGCCCGAGATATTCAACATATAGCCATAGGCAACACGTCTTAGATAAACATGACTCTGACACAAGGCGCATGTTTAGCTTATTTTACTATCGGTTGAACTTTTTAACTCATTTGGTTCTTGGTTTGGATAGTTTTTATAGTCGAATTTGGTGGACTTTTAAAAATTTATTTTTTTGAAAATAAAAAAAATATCGAGCAAAACTCAAAATTATAAAATTAAAGGATGAATATTCAAATTTATGAAAGGACATTTTTTTCCTCTAAATTTTCACCAATATGACTATGTATTATATAATATAAAATTATTATTAATCAATTTTAATCCTGAATTAAGTTGAAAATTGTTAAAACAATAAATATTAAATTGACAACTAAATTAATAAAAATATTTATTAACTTTGTATTTGCGTTGTAAATACATTTAAACTTTAAAAAAATAAAAAATGTGTTAATATTTTATTTACAAAAATATATTTAAATTTTAAAAAGTTTGATTAATGTCGTTTAAAATTTTAAAATTTTTAAAAATACTCTTACGTTTAATATCATATTTAAAAAGTACCCATGATATTTTAAAAGTAATGTTAACTGTCTATTAAAAAAAAATATTACTGTAAACGGTTTATCTACTCTAAATTACCTCAAAATTTTTTTACAAATAAAGGTCTTATATATATTTAAAACGTGGTACTACTAGTAACGGATTTAAAGATTTTTTTAGTTAAAAAAAAATTGAAAGGTATTTTAAAAAAATTTAATGATATTTTTTAAAATAAAATATTAAGGATTTTTATTTTTTTAAAAAAAAATTAATTTTGAATTTAGTTTAAAGGTATTTGTAAAATTTTATTGAAAATTTAAAAGTATTTTTTAAAAAATAAAATGGAAAAATGAATAATATTTTTATTAATTAAGAAACTAATTTTCTGGTTTTATTTGTATTCTGTTTGAATTGGGAAAAGACTTCCAAATAAGAAATATCCACGGTGTCATTGGGCAGCTTCGGCCTAAACTTCCTTACCCAACTAAACTAAATCGACTCTCTCTTTCTTTGCTCTCGTCTAGCCGTAGGAGCATCCAGCGCCGCCGCTGTTACAAAGTCCAACTCTTCCACGGAGGAAGCTCTGTTTCCTCTACCCTCTCCCTCTGCTCCCCCGCTCCGGGATGCCGATCAAGAGACCACTCTACAACCGCCTGAGCCATCTTCCTCTCCCCCGCCGTCGGTAGTTTCAGAAATTATAATGTTCTCGAGGGATTCTAACGTTCTATTCAGTGGCGGCGGTATCAGGTCTTTGATTTTTTTCTTATTCACCGCCATGACTTCTCATCGTGCATGCATAAATTCAATGGTGTTTTTTTTTCTTTTTTTCTCCTTCTCCCGCCCTTGTTTGTTGATCTAGTTTCTATTAAAGGATCGTTTATGGTGTTGGACCGTTGGATTGGTCTATTCAAGCTTCTTACTGGTTGTATTGTATTGATGATTCTCGTGATATTCCATATCTGGATGCAGACACCGAGACAGATTTTTATGTTCATTTTTGGAATTTTCCTTGTTTGTAGAGGGAGATGTATATATCTAGGCAAATTGTTCCTTGGGCTTCAGTAAATGAGCGTTGAAATGAAACTACTGGATTTTTTTTATTTGACCTGTTCTTTTTGTACTAAACTTTGCTGTTAAGAGTGGTCCAGATTACCTGCCACTGCATGGATGGTGGACCTGAGTTTTTGGTTTAACTTCCTGCTTTCGCAATATGATTCCATTGGACACTTTTTTTTTTTTTTTTGAAACTTGAAGCAATCAATGTGCAATGGCAGAGTTTTTAAAGGTGGTCAAAGGGCCCATCATCTCTTGGATGTGATTTTGAGTTGCCCTTGTGAATGGATTTTTCAGCCATTCATCATTTAGCTTCTTTGATCTTCTTTAGTTCTATGCTTTTGATGGTTTGGTTGGGAGGCGAATCTAGATGTTCGATATCCAATTCAGTAATTGTATTTCTGTGCAGAATTGAAATCTAGCTCCCATGAACCTCATGGTTTCCGTGATCTTAAGGACATAATAAGCATAAAAGAGACATTTGGCTAAAATAATTTTTTCTTCTTTTGGTAATTTTATTACAATGTGAAGTTTTGGAAGAGGTGAAACTTGCTCATCTAACATATTCTCTTTTGTACTCTCAGTTTTCTCCATGGAAACCATACTGGAAAGTTTAGCTATGGCTATTCTAGTTTCAAGGGTAAAAGGGCATCAATGGAGGACTTCTACGAAACTAGAATTTCTGAAGTCGATGGGCAGATGGTCGCTTTTTTTGGTGTTTTTGATGGTAAGACCTAGTATTTCTTTGCAATTCTATATCATTTACTTGCCAGATTGAATCAGAGGATTGATTTACATCTGGGTTCTTCTAAAAATTGTTTCTATATCTAAGTCATCATTTTACAGCATTTAACTTGATGCACTTCATTTAAGAACTCTCCTTATAAGATTCCCAAGTTGTCCAGTGTGATGCATGGACGCTCGTTCTTTTCTCCAGTTTAATAGACACTGTGATGTCTTAGGTCATGGAGGTTCCAGAACAGCTGAATACCTTAAGCGCAATCTTTTCAAGAACCTAAGTAGCCATCCAGGCTTTATCAAAGACACAAAGGCAGCTATTAGTAAGAAGTTATAATTTGTGCCTATGATTTCATATTTTCTTTTTGCCTTGCTAGCGGAGCATAAACTAAGAAAATACTTATTTTGCAGCTGAGGTTTTTAGGCAAACGGATGCAGACTATATTAATGAAGAGAGAGGTCAGCAGAAAGATGCCGGGTCAACTGCATCAACTGCTGTCCTGTTAGGGGATCGTCTCCTTGTTGCTAATGTTGGGGATTCGAGAGTAGTCGCGTCTAGAGCTGGTTCAGGTTGCTTATTCTTTTTTCTGTCAATAGTAGGAAGTACTGAAAAATATACTTAATTTGAATAAAATTAAAAAGGGCAGTAACAAGATTTGTGGGTCAATTATTGTATAAGTTTTGAAAATGAAGATTTGTTGGAATCAAAGGATATATTGCAATTTCTTGGGCTATTAAGATGCCAGAAACATTTCTTATTTGTTGCAGCTATTCCCCTCTCTATTGATCACAAGCCTGATCGATCAGATGAACGGCGAAGGATTGAAGATGCTGGAGGTTTCATTCTTTGGGCTGGTAAAATAAGATCTACACTTTATCTGCATCTAGGAGCTTGTTTTGGAGATTTTTTTTTTTGCATTCATTTGTAGCCAGTATTAAATGTGAATCCTAACATTATCATGGTTAAATTGCAAATTTGTTCCCTATAGTTTCAAACCATGAGGACGTAATTCCATCTTTATCCACCATTATTATTTCCATAACAAACTTTAACAACCAGTTGAAACATACTTATCATGAAAGTTTTAATTGAAACTTTTAATTTGTTGCTTACCTTAATCCAGGAACTTGGAGGGTTGGTGGTATTCTAGCAGTTTCACGTGCCTTTGGAGATAAGCTACTCAAACGATACGTTGTTGCTGATCCCGAAATTAAGGTTGGGGAAGCTATCTTTTATTACATGAACTCGTAGTATACATTTATTCAGTCGACCACAAGAGTCTCATCGGTACAATTCGACTCTGTTCTTTATTTTTAATTTACATATGTTCATCAAATGTAAATGAAACTTTATCCTGAGGATTTTGCAAATGCTATGACCCTTGAATTAACCAAGCGGTCATTGTTTCAAAATCTTGTGTGGCTGCTGATTGTATAGTTTCAGACTAGCTGACGTTGCATGTCGGTGTTAATGATCATATAGATGGCCAACCATATTTGCGGACACGATATGTCTGGTGTTAATGAACTATCATTCCAATCTTTAAAACTGTTAGCCGTTAACCATAGCTCTGTTTTTTGAATATTTATCTTTTCCTTGTGCTCTTGTTATATCTTCTGTAAATTTGAAAGAGAACTTTGCTTTCTCTATTTCTACCTGCTCCCTTTACACTGATTTTCATTCATTTGAATAGGAAGAAGAAATCCCCAGTGTAGACTTTATAATTATTGCAAGCGATGGACTTTGGAATGTCATATCAAATGAGGTGATTGTTTCTTTATATTACTTTGACTTTCTCTGTCTTGTTCTATTAGAGAGATTAATTATTCATTTATAAGATTTGTTCTTAGTTTGACCTCTGAATATGTGATAATGCTCTTTGGAGTTTTGAAATCTGGGAATACTTCTCCGGGATTGGAAGGATTCAAGTCGTTTGGCTTTCTCCATTATTGATCAATTGACCAAAAGAAGAGACTGATATAGTCTGTCTGTCACGCACCCGTCTTCCTTGTCATAATCTTAGAAATCAACTACCCCACAACCTCCTGAAAGGGGGAAGGAGGGGGGGG